CACCGGTGTACTCTATATATATATATACATATATATTAATCAAAGGAAGTTGGGAAGCAATACTTCCGAGTTACGGATAAATAGAATTCTGAGACTTGAAATGATGAAGGGTGGTATGTCATCTAACAATACATAACAAAAGAATAAGAAGCTATTCAGTTGACCTTGATGAAGGGTGGTAGATCACATAACAATACATAATGTACCAATACATAATGTACCAATACATAACAAAAGAATAAGAAGCTATGCAGTTGACCTTGATGAAGGGTGGTAGATCACATAACAATACATAACAAAAGAATAAGAAGCTATGACACAGGGTGGGTGAAGAAGGGAAGTGATGATGAAGGGGAGTGGTGACAAAGGGAAGTGGTGAGGAAGGGAAGTGGTGAAGAAGGGAAGTGGTGACGAAGGGAAGTGGTGAAGAAGGGAAGTGGTGACGAAGGGAAGTGGTGACGAAGGGAAGTGGTGACGAAGGGAAGTGACGACGAAAGGAAGTGGTGACGAAGGGAAGTGGTGAAGAAGGGAAGTGGTGACGAAGGGAAGTGGTGACGAAGGGAAGTGGTGACGAAGGGAAGTGGTGACGAAGGGAAGTGGTGACGAAGGGAAGTGGTGACGAAGGTGACGACGAAAGGAAGTGGTGACGAAGGGAAGTGGTGACGAAGGGAAGTGGTGACGAAGGGAAGTGGTGACGAAGGGAAGTGGTGACGAAGGGAAGTGGTGACGAAGGGAAGTGGTGACGAAGGGAAGTGGTGAAGAAGGGAAGTGGTGACGAAGGGAAGTGGTGACGAAGGGAAGTGGTGACGAAGGGAAGTGGTGACGAAGGGAAGTGGTGAGGAAGGGAAGTGGTGACGAGGGGAAGTGGTGACGACGGGAAGTGGTGAGGAAGGGAAGTGGTGAGGAAGGGAAGTGGTGACGAAGGGAAGTGGTGAGGAAGGGAAGTGGTGACGAGGGGAAGTGGTGACGAAGGGGCGTGCGATCGCATTGGAATTGCGGCATGAATGTTGCATGTGCGATTGTTTTGTTTGGGCCGAGGAAGCCGGAGCACGAAACCTTGTGGTTTTCCGTGTAAAGTGGACTGCAGGCGACGATAAGTACCTCGTCATGTGGCGGGCGGGTGCGGCTGGTGGGTCGTTTGAGCCGAAACTGTTCCTCCTATGTGTTTTGCAACGAGTGGTTGTGTCTGTGTGCGTAGTTCTATGCGGTTCTTGAATCTCTGGTTGCAGATTGCATTGTAATGGCTGCATGAATGTTGCATGGGCTATGTTTTGGGGAGGAAGCGGGAGCACGAAACCGTGCGTTTTTCCGTGTAAAGTGGGTGCAGGCGACGATGAAAGGTACCTCGTCTGTGCGGCGGGTGTGGCTGGGGTCGTTTTGTGCGCGAATTGTTCCTCCTATGTGTTTTGCAACGAGTGGTTGTGTCTGTGTGCGTAGTTCTATGCGGTTCTTGAATCTCTGGTTGCAGATTGCATTGGAATGGCTGCCTCATTGTCGCCATTTGATGTTGCCACGTGCGTAGATAGGTGCGGGTTTGCAACGGGATGCTGCGAAACGCATTGTAATGGCTGCATGAATGTTGCATGGGCTATGTTTTGGGGAGGAAGCCGGAGCACGAAACCTTGTGTTTTTCCGTGTAAAGTGGCTGCAGCCGACGATGAAAGGTACCTCGTCTGTGCGACGGGTGCGGCTGGGGTCGTTTTGCGCGCGAATTGTTCCTCCTATGTGTTTTGCAACGAGTGGTTGTGTCTGTGTGCGTAGTTCTATTCGGTTCTTGAAGCTGTGGTTGCAGATTGCATTGCCATGGCTGCATGAATGTTGCATGGGCTATGTTTTGGGGAGGAAGCCGGAGCACGAAACCGTGCGTTTTTCCGTGTAAAGTGGCTGCAGCCGACGATGAAAGGTACCTCGTCTGTGCGGCGGGTGCGGCTGGGGTCGTTTTGTGCGCGAATTGTTCCTCCTATGTGTTTTGCAACGAGTGGTTGTGTCTGTGTGCGTAGTTCTATGCGGTTCTTGAATCTCTGGTTGCAGATTGCATTGGAATGGCTGCTTCATTGTTGCCATTTGATGTTGCCACGTGCGTAGATAGGTGCGGGTTTGCAACGGGATGCTGCGAAACGCATTGTAATGGCTGCATGAATGTTGCATGGGCTATGTTTTGGGGAGGAAGCCGGGGCACGAAACCTGGTGTTTTTCCGTGTAAAGTGGCTGCAGCCGACGATGAAAGGTACCTCGTCTGTGCGGCGGGTGCGGCTGGGGTCGTTTTGTGCGCTGAAGCTGTGGCTGCAGATTGCATTGTAATGGCTGCATGAATGTTGCATGGGCTATGTTTTGGGGAGGAAGCCGGAGCACGAAACCTTGTGTTTTTCCGTGTAAAGTGGCTGCAGGCGACGATGAAAGGTACCTCGTCTGTGCGGCGGGTGCGGCTGGGGTCGTTTTGTGCGCGAATTGTTCCTCGTATGTGTTTTGCAACGAGTGGTTGTGTCTGTGTGCATAGTTCTATTCGGTTCTTGAATCTCTGGTTGCAGATTGCATTGGAATGGCTGCATGAATGTTGCATGGGCTATGTTTTGGGGAGGAAGCCGGAGCACGAAACCTTGTGTTTTTCCGTGTAAAGTGGCTGTATGCGTAATACTATTGCCTTTTGCAGCTGAGCATCGTAAATCGTATTGGAATGGCTGCATCCACGCTGCGATAGTGATTTGTCAGCAGATGTTTTCAACTTTGGCGCTTATAATTTTCCTTTTAAAAATCCTTTTAAACAGTGCTTCAAAATCGTCTTTTTTCTGCTTTGGCGTCGAGATCCGGTTTTGGAGCTGCAATTTCCGACGCCGTTGCGCGTAGTTCTTTTGTGTTTTGCAACTCAGTCTTTGCAGATCGCATTGGGATGGCTGCGTCAGGGTTGCTTGGCGCAGCGGCTGCATGCGTAATACTATTGTCTTTTGCAGCTGAAGATCGTAAATCGTATTGGAATGGCTGCATCAAGGCTGCGAAAGTGATTTGTCAGCAGATTTTCTCAATTTTGGCGCTAATAATTTTCCTTTTAAAATTCCTTTTAAAAAGTGCTTCAAAATCGTCTTTTTGTCGCTTTGGCGTCGAGATCCGGTTTTGGAGCTGTAATTTCCGACGCCATTGCACGTAGTTCTATTGTGTTTTGCAACTCAGTCTCTGCAGATCGCATTGTAGTGGCTGCGTCAAGGTTGCTTGGCGCAGCGGCTGCATGCGTAATACTATTGTCTTTTGCAGCTGAAGATCGTAAATCGTATTGGAGTGGGTGCATCAAGGCTGCGACAGTGATTAGTAGTACTGGGAAGTGATTCATGAAAGCTTACATGACATATGAGAAGAGATGAGATGAGAAGAGATGAGCTGGGATAAGGTGAGAAGGGCTTGGATGAGATGAAGTGTGGAGTGTGAAGAGTGCAGTGTGAAGTGTGGGGCGTGAAGGGTGCAGTGTGAAGTGTGAAGTGTGAAGTTTGGAGTGTGAAGAAAGCAGTGAGAAGTGAGAAGTGTGGACTGTGAAGTGTCAAGTGTGGACTGTGAAGTGTGAAGTTTGGAGTGCGAAGAGTGCAGTGTGACGTGTGAAGTGCGGAGTGTGAAGTGTGGAGTGTGAAGTGTGAAGTGTGGAGTCTTAAGAGTGCAGTGTGAAGTGTGGAGTGTGAAGTGTGTAGTGTGGAGTGTGAAGACTGCAGTGAGAAGTGCGAAGTGCGAAGTGGAGCTTCAAATGTGACATGTGAAACAAGACATCAGTTTCGCAGAGTGCACGCACGCACCGGCTTGGCTGGCGCACGGCGCAGGCAAGTTCTATAGATGAGAAAGGTCTTATATATATATATCTTTAAGGCAACTTACGCCCCGCCTCGTGCGGGTACTACTGGTATAAACATTAATGTTTGTATAATCCACAATGGGCACACCTGGGCCTCCCGGGACGAATCATGATCAATCTAGCAATCCTCTGGAGGATCTAGAGGATCTACAATCAAACCCCAAAAGCATCCCAAAACCAGATTTTAGATGATATTAGGGTATGCAACTGCGTGGCTTTGATTATTTTGATTGGGAATGAAGAAATCAATCCCAATTACTGTACCAATCCCTTGGATTTTGGGGTCGGCCTTGGTCGGCCAACTCGAACCTTTGGGTAGACTTGGTATTGAGACCTATGGTGACGACTGGGGATCCCCCATGACTTAAAACAGTCTGGGGCTCAATTTGCCGTGGAATGTCCGGCTCAGCCAAAGAGCTGTCATTCAAGTCCGACGGGATTATGTTGTATTTGGGCACGTAAACCGCAAGAAGTCCAAAGCCAGGGTCCAGGAATGCATCTTATGTCAGAAGAGGTATTCTAATGTGAAATTTCACATTGTGAACGCCTGTGCTGGCTTGGTAGATGTCCGAAGGCCCTGTCTTGTTTATTTCCCGCAGGGGCTTGATTTTGATATTCATCCAAGCCATCCTGGCTACATGCCGGTGGCCTTGTTTGCTCAGGAACTAGTTCGGCGAACGTGGTTATTCTGGAAGGAATAAATCAAACAGCTGCAGGTGGCATGGAGCTGTTTGGGCCTTTTACTGAGGTAAGGGTCCTGCAGGCTCCATGTTGGGGTCCCTGCTATTCCATGATTGGATGCTGTTGCTGCCTGTTGGAGCCCCCCAATTTGTCCTTTGGACTTCGAACCAACCAACCAACCCATACGGCCTTGGTTGAATGAAAAATAACTTTGCTCTACTGTGTTGCTTTTCAACCTCTCTCAGCGGAAATTCAAACAAACAATTGATTGACTTCAGGACTTTTAAAAAACTGTCTAGAATATCCTCGTAGAGTCGAACGAAACGCTGCCCAAGAACGGCAACACATGTGTTCACAGCCCATTTTACTTTCAATCTGGGCTGAAATCATAAAGTATCAGCTAAGTATCACCGTATCAGAAGCAACCATTACTGCGAACTAATGAACTCGCCATGAGATCATTACGAACCCCTGCGAGACATTGTTGGGCCTCCGCTTCGAGCGGTGGCCAGGGCAAAACCGACACGTGGCCCATCGAGCCTGGGACGTCCCTCAAAGATTGGTGAATCTGAACAAGGACTGAGAAGTCATAGTATGATTATGGGTGAATCTGAATCATCTATGACTGAGGAATTCTCATGTTCAGAATTATGGGTGACTGTCCTGTGACAGCATGGAGTTTTAACTATTCCAATCTTGACGTTATCCTATGTCACATGCATGCCTTGAAAAATCAGAGGGGGGAAGGGGTGGAGAACCATGAGCTAATCATCGGGGAGGGGATGAAAAATATACGTCTGATGACCTATGTGCATATACTGTAAATATAATGTTTTTCCAACGTATGTTTTCAGGTAAAATACGGCAGCACTTCTTGTGTACATCATCCAAGATTCTTGGGATCACATGTGCTGATTTCCCTGACCAGCCATGTTTGTTTGTGCAGGGAGGTCACTTTGTGAACGTCAAAGGTAACCCATTCATGATTTGATGGATGAACATTCAACAATGTCAGCATCCACGGACAAATCAAACATTTGGAACCAACATTATATTGTATGTCTAATTACATGGAAGGTATCTAAAATGGGGTAACCCAAAACCATGGGTTTCAATACTAAACTGGTTTGGATGATTTGGGCAGCCTATTTGGAAACTCCCATATACAGTAGCATTTTTACTTAAGATACCAACAGCATCCAAACACACGATGTCTCCACTTTCCACACCGTCGCATCTGCCGCCTCTGTCCCAGGCTGGACTGCACCTGTGGCACGGTCGTTGAGTTGCCAAGAATCGCAAACAGAAATCACAAGCGATATATATATATATATATATATTATAGTATATATATATACTAAAAATACATTAAAAGGTGTGTGTATATATATATATGTATATCATAGTCGTAGTATATATTTATTTTTTGTTTAAAAAAAAGTATATACAATATACCGTATATATATATGTATATATTTATATATATATATATATATTATATTGTATATATATATATATATTTAGTATAGTATATATATATATATGTAAATACAAAAATATTTGTTATATACTATAATATATATATCATAATGTATACACATATATAAATAAATAAGTGAATAAATATATAAATATTATAGTGTATACATATCTATATATATATATGTATGTATCATAGTGTATATATATATATATATATTAGAGAGTGTATATATATATATATATATATCAAGGTGTATAACTATATAATAATAAATAAATAAATAAATACGGAGTATAAATTATTACGGTATATATCATATATAGTGTATTATACATATCATATGTGTATATATTGTATATATATATATATATATATATGCATATTACATTATAGTATATGTCATTATATAATAATATATTATATTAACTTTGTTTTATTAAATTATCTACTATATTATATGTTTATATTTAAACTATATCATATATATATATATCATTGTTTTTTCCCACATTGACGTGTGGGGTTTTTGTTTTTAGTTCTGTATCCGCTCGCTCCTTCGCTCCTCCCGCTCCTCCCCTCACACACACAAAAACTCACTCACTCACACACCAACACATCACTCGCACACACACACACATAACACACTCACACACTCACTCACTCACTCACTCCCCCTCCACCCCCCCCTCCCACCCACCCACCCCCCCCCCACCCCCCCCCTCACTCACTCACTCACTCACTCACTCACTCACTCACTCACTCACTCACTCACTCACTCACTCACCTCACTCACCTCACTCACCTCACTCACCTCACTCACCTCACTACCTCACTCACTCACTCACTCACTCACTCACTCACTCACTCTTTTGCGTGGCTCTGCAAGGGGTCGGATGTACGCCCTGGCGTCCCTTGGTCTCCGGTGGCTTTTGCGTGGCAGGTGCGGCACTTGGTCTCTGCAAGGGGTCGGATGTACGACCTGCAGTCCCTTGGTCTCCGCCGCTCTCCCGGAGTCGGATGTACGTCCCTTGGTCTCCGCCGCTCTGCCGGTGGCTTTTGCGTGGCATGCAGGCGCGGCACTTGGTGCTCTGCAAGGGGTCGGATGTACGCCCTCACGTCCCTTGGTCTCTGCCGCTCTGCCGGTGGCTTTTGCGTGGCAGGCGCGGCACTTGGTGCTCTGCAAGGGGTCGGATGTACGCCCTGGCGTCCCTTGGTCTCCGCCGCTCTGCCGGTGGCTTTTGCGTGGCAGGTGCGGCACTTGGTGCTCTGCAAGGGGTCGGATGTACCCTGGCGTTCCTTGGTCTCCGCCGCTCTGCCGGTGGCTTTTGCGTGGCAGGCGCGGCACTGCAAGGGGTCGGCAGAGCGGCAGAGACCAAGGGACGCCAGGGCGATGGCAGGTGTGGCACTTGGTGCTCCAAGGGTCGGATGTACGCCCTGGCGTCCCTTGGTCTCCGCCGCTCTGGCGGTGGCTTTTGCATGGCAGGTGCGGCACTTGGTGCTCTGCAAGGGGTCGGATGTACGCCCTGGCGTCCCTTGGTCTCCTCCGCTATGCCGGTGGCTTTTGCGTGGCAGGTGCGGCACTTGGTGCTCTGCAAGGGGTTGGATGTACGCCCTGGCGTCCCTTGGTCTCCGCCGCTCTGCCGGTGGCTTTTGCGTGGCAGGTGCGTGGCATAGAAAGATGAATAGATGGATGGATGGATAGATAGATAGATAGATAGAGGGATGGATAGATCGATGGATAGATGGGTAGATAGCTAGACCCTGAGAGTCCAATGTTCATGTTTACCTACGCATTTCACTAATGTCGAAGTTTACCTACGCATTTGTGTAATGTCGATGTTTACTCATCAATGTCGATGTGCAGCAAATTTATCAACCTTTTGTACTGCTGCCGGATCTTTATCTTGGACGTGCTTTATTAGTCAAACTCATGCGATATCACTTTGAATCACATTTGACACAGAATTTCCCATAGGATTTTGTTTTGTTTTCACTCAACGATACATATATGTTTGCATGAGAGCAGGTGTTCTGCCCTAGATGCCCCCAAACTCAATCTTGGAAACAAAAGACACCATGGGACAGCCGTTCTTGACAAGCAATTTGGATGCGGTTGGCATCCGGATGACCAGACTGGTTAAAAAAACAAGAAAAAACACAAAAACACATTATATTCTAGGGGTGGCTCTTTTCCTCGGGTAAACATCGCATTTCACGGGTAAACACCGCATTTCACGGGTAAACACCGCATTTCACGCAAACTTCACGGGTACTTCACGCTATTTCACGCTAAAGATTTTGGGGGGTTTGTCTGGTCTTTCAGTGGCCACACCGAGTTACCGATTTCTTTGGACATTAATCTGGGGCATGAGCTTCTGGCAGTGGTATATGTCCAAACCGTTTAAGGTCCCATGTTTTGCCCGTGAACTCTGACAGTATATTTGCAAATAGGAACTCTGGTGACGAAGGGAAGTGGTGACGAAGGGAAGTGGTGATGATGGGGAGTGGTGACGAAGGGAAGTGGTGACAAAGGGAAGTGGTGACTAAGGGAGTGTGGTGACTTTGGGAAGTGGTGACGAAGGGAAGTAGTGACTAAGGAAATGTGGTGACGATGGGAAGTGGTGACGAAGGGAAGTGGTAAGGAAGGGAAGTGGTGACGATGGGAAGTGGTGACTTTCGCAAGTAGTGGCTGCAGGCGGCGGTGAAGTACCTCGTGTGGGGCGGGTGCGGCTGCGGTCGTTCCGGACGCGATTGGTTCCTTCTATGTGTTTTGCAATGAGTGCAGTTCCTGTGTGCGTAGTTTTATGCGTTTCTTGAAGCTGTGGTTGCAGATCGCATTGGAATGGCTGCATGAATGTTGCATGGGCCATGTTTTGGGAAGGAAGCCGGAGCACGAAACCTTGCATTTTTCCGTGTAAAGTGGCTGCAGGCGGCGATGAAAGGCACCTCGTGTGTGTGGCGGGTGCGGCTGCGGCTGCGGTCGTTCCGGACGCAATTGGTGTTCCTTCTATGTGTTTTTGCAACGAGTGATCGTTCCTGTGTGCGTAGTTCTTCGCGTTTCTTGAATCTGTGGTTGCAGATCGCATTGGAATGGCTGCATGATTGTCGTCCTCTGATTTTGCCATGTGCATAGATACGTGCAAGTGTGCGACGTGATGCTGCAAAACGCATTGTAATGGCTGCGTCAAGGTTGCTTGGCACCGCGGCTGCATGCGTAATACTACTCTCTTGTGCAGCTGGGTATCGCAAATCGTATTGGAGTGGCTGCATCAAGGCTGCGAGAGTGATTTGTCAGCAGATTGTTTTTATTTTTTCAATTTTGGCGTTTGTAATTTTCCTTTTAAAAATCCTTTTAGAAAGTGCTTCAAAATCGTCTTTTTTTCGCTTTGGCGTCGAGATCCGGTTGTGGAGCTGCAATTTCCGACGCCGTTGTGCGTAGTTCTATTGTGTTTTGCAACTCAGTCTCTGCAGATCGCATTGTAGTGGCTGCGTCAAGGTTGCTTGGTGCTGCGGCTGCATGCGTAATACTATTGTCTTTTGCTGCTGGATCTCGTAAATAGTATTGGAGTGGCTGCATCAAGGCTGCGATATTGATTTGTCAGCACATTTTCTCAATTTTGGCGCTAGTAGTTTTCCTTTTAAAAAGTGCTTCGAAATCGTCTTTTTTCGCTTTGGCGTCGAGATCCGGTTTTGGAGCCGCAATTCCTGCTGTGATTATGTACAAGAAAGTTTTTCTGTGTAAAAGCTTTTTTCTGTAAAAGCTTGCTGTGTGCAAAGGATTTTGTGAGTAAAAGCTTGCTGTGTGTAAAAGCTTCTCTGTGTGTAAAAGTGTCTCCGTGTAAAAGTTTCTGTGTGTGTAAACGCCTGCCATGTGTAAAAGCACTGTGTGTAAGTGTTCTGTGTGTAAACGCTTGCTGTGTGTGTGAAAACTTGCTGTGTGTAAAAGCTTCTCTGTGTAAAAACTTGTTGTCTGTAAAAGCTTCTCTGTGTGTAAAAGCTTCTCTGTTTAAAAAGCTTGCTGTGTGTGTAAACGCTTGCCATGCGCTAAAGCATGTAAAAGCATTGTGTGCAAGTGTTCTGTGTGTAAACGCTTGCTGTGTGTGAAAGCTTGCTGTGTGCAAGGGATTGTGTGTGTGTGTAAAGCTTGCTGTGTGTAAAAAAAAGCTTCTCTGTGTGTAAAAGCATCTCTGTATCAAAGTTTCTGTGTGTAAACGCTTGCCATGTGTAAAAGCACTGTGTGTAAGTGTTCTGTGTAAATGCTTGCTGTGTGTGTGTGTGTAAAAGCTTGCTGTGTGGAAAAGCTTCTCTGTGTAAAAGCTTGTTGTGTGTACAAGTTTCTCTGTTTAAAAAGCTTGCTGTGTGTAAAAGCTTCTCTGCGAAAGAACTTTCTGTGTGTAAAAGCTTTCTTTGTGCCAACTCTGTATCAGAAAGTAGTACTGGGACGTACTTTGTGCAAGGATTGTAGTACAAAGTCGTACTGGGAAGTGCTATGCGCAAGCTTCGTAGTACAAAGTAGTACTGGGAAGTGCTTTGTGCAAGCTTTGTAGTACAAAGTAGTACTGGGGTACTGGGAAGTAGTTTGTGCAAGCGTTGTAGTACAAAAGTAGTACTGGGAAGTGCTTTGTGCAAGCCTTGTAGTACAAAGTAGTAATAGGAAGTAGTTGGCTGGGCGCGCGCAGAAGGCCGCGTCACGAAACAGAGTTTTTGCTAGTTCACTGCACTGGCGCCACAGCGAGAGCGCATTTTTTCCTGTTTTTTTGTGTTTCGCCTCAGTGAAACCTCTTTTTTTGTCTTTTTTTGTTGTTTTTTTTGGCGTGGTGTTGGTTGGGGGGGTGGGGGGTGGGGGGGGGGGGGGGGATGTAATAACGTTCTTTGGACTTGAACACATCTGGGATGTTATGTCATGAGATCTTTTCTTGGAATTCAACACATCTGGGATGGTACGTCATGAGATCTTTTCTTGGAATTCAACACATCTGGGAGGGTACGTCATGAGATCTTTTCTTGGAATTCAACACATCTGGGATGGTACGTCATGAGATCTTTTCTTGGAATTCAACATCTGGGATGGTACGTCATGAGATCTTTTCTTGGAATTCAACACATCTGGGATGGTACGTCATGAGATCTTTTCTTGGAATTCAACACATCTGGGATGGTACGTCATGAGATCTTTTCTTGGAATTCAACACATCTGGGATGGTACGTCATGAGATCTTTTCTTGGAATTCAGCACATCTTTTTCCTTGAATTTCCTGTTTTTTTGAAAACATAGAAAAGGAGATGATGCAACCTTGCATGAGCATGTGTCTTTAGAAGTGTTTCAATGAGCATGGAGAAACCATGCACTTTTGGAAAGAATCCAAGCGAGGTTCTCGAGCAACTGTCTCGACTTTTTGCAGATTAAAGGTGGATGAAAATAAAAGTCATGCACTGAAGTAAATACACCTGAAAGTGTCTCAACTGAAGTAGTTTTTTTCGACGTCAAAATATGACACGCCAAGATATGAACATGGACATGTGAAGCTGTACATGCATTTCGAATGGCCAGCGTGGAGGATTTGCCATATCACCATTCATACATTTGTGTCAAAACTGAGATGAAAGTGCACGAAACCATACGGCCATCTATGAGCGCCCGACCAAGTAGTTTGTACAAGCTTTGTAGTACAAAGTAGTACTGGAACGTGTTTTGTACAAGCTTTGTAGTACAAAGTAGTACTGGGAAATACTTTTTGCAAGCTTTGTAGTACAAAGTAGTACTGGGAAGTACTTTTTGCAAGCTTTGTAGTGCACAGTAGTACTGGGAAGTAGTTTGTGCAAGCGTTGTAGTACAAAGTAGTACTGGGAAGTGCTTTGTGCAAGCTTTGTAGTACAAAGTAGTACTGGAACGTGCTTTGTGCAAGCTTTGTAGTACAAAGTAGTACTGGGAAGTACTTTTTGCAAGCTTTTGTAGTAGACATGAATACTGGGAAGTAGTTTGTGCAAGCTTTGTAGTACAAAGTAGTACTGGGACGTGCTTTGTGCAAGCTTTGTAGTACAAAGTTTTTTGTAAAGACTTTTCTGTGTAAATGCATCTGTGTCTCAAGCTTTCTGACGCGCAGAAGAGCCGAGATGAGTTGAGACTAGCTTCGGTGAGATGAGAAAAGTTGAGCTGCGCTCAGATGACATGAAAATAGCCAAGAAGTGTGGAGTGTGAAGAAAGCAGTGAGAAGTGAGAAATGTGAAGTGTGGACTGTGAAGTGTGAAGTGTGGAGTGTGAAGTGTGGAGTCTTAAGAGTGCAGTGTGAAGTGAAGTGTGGGGTGCGAAGAGTGCAGTGTGAAGTGTGAAGTGTGAAGTGTGAAGCGTGAAGTGTGGAGTGTGAAGAGTGCAGTGAGAAGTGTGAAGTGCGAAGTGTGAAGCGTGAAGTGTAAAGAGTGCAGTGGGAAGTGTGAAGTGCGAAGTGGAGCTTCAAATGTGACATGTGAAACAGGACACCACTTTCGCAGAATGCACGCACGCACGGGCTTGGCTGGCGCACGGCGCATGCAATTTCTATAGATGAGAAAAGTCTTATATATCCCCTTAACCTAAGGCAACTTCCGCCCCGCCTTGTGCGGGCACTACTGGTATATTTATGGATTGTCTTTCCATGTTTTTTCATTAAATAAACCATCCAGCTATTGGGTATCCCCATGACTATGGAAACCCCAGTTTTTTCCAACGTTTGAGATGACTGGTTGCAACAATCATGGGATGTCGTCTGCACACAACCTACGAATGGGGTCGGTAACATTTAAGTCATGGCCAGAGTTGCTGCAGCTGTTCAGGGATCCCGTATTCCTACGAAAATAGGCCCTTTGCTCCATCCCCTTTGATAAAAAACAGAGGAGCTGTTTTGGTATACCACTGCGAAGCAAAACATGGGTCATATAGCCCAAGGGGCTCCTGATGCGTAGGTCCCATCAATCCAGCACCACTTTAAGCTCAAACCAGCACCAAAAAACCACAGCAATCCGCCTCTACAAATGCAACCATTGCTAAAAACTGAGGCGCTAAGCGACAAAATCTCTGCAATTTGTTGGGATCAAAATGTTGTGACTGAGGAATCTCTCAATGCGATGTTTTGTTTCCAGTGAATAAGTAGCAACATCAGTTTCATCATCCAAAAACTATTGGGTTATCGTTTTACTGGTGCATCTATCTCTTGATGCATGGCTGCATGATGTTCTACTGAATGGTGACGGTCAGTTGGCTGAATCAGCTAATGTCCTACTGAAGAGTTGTCAACAGCTGGCAACAAGGTGACGTACGGCAACACATGGACGATACCCTGCCACAAATTATGTTCTTAGTAGATTAGTAAAGCCATTGGTATATTGTGTACATGAAAACCAGCATGTTAGTTTGTTGAGATTGGTTCAATACAAGGTCCCCCAGTCGCAAGTGGTTTATGAATCCCATGTTTTAACTATAGCATGCTATAGCTATATTTGCCCAAAAACCCAGCAGCTAATCAAGTTATGTGCCAGTTACAACTAATAAACGGCTATAACTGTGAATCAAACAAAAAAGCAGCATGGATGACAATCAGTGTCCATGAATTCTGGCCAAACTGTTTGATTCCGATCAGAATAGATGGCCGCAGTCAGTGGATTTTCGGGATCCAGTGATCGATGTGTTGCAGAAAACTGGACTAATAATGGTGGATACTATCTGGTAATTTAACATAGCTATAGAAAATACCACATTTATAGTTGATTTACCTATTCAAAATGGTGATTTTCTATAGCTATGTTATAGTTGACCAGAGGGTAATGGTGGATACAGATAAAAATCATGATTAAACAAACCTATATATCGCCACATGCTTTTGGCCAATCTTAGAGGGTCCCCCCGGCGATTTCGGCGTCGCTGGGATAGCCTCAACATGACAATGCTGAGGTGTCCACGTTGTGTTCCCCAGAATTTCAGAGCCATTTCACCGACTTGGACTTGGATAGTGCATGATTGTGCTTTCCCTAACAGGCCATGTGCCTCCAAATGAGCCTCAACACCCTTCTCAGAGCACATTTTCGGAACCAAACAAAGGCGATCCTGAGTGGATCATGTCATATCCAAAAATGAATATTTATAAATGATATCAATATATCGATGACATCCATGATATGCATGGTTATGCGCTCCAGGAGTGCCTTTGGAGAGGTATAAGTCTCCTAGACCTTAGGGCAACTGCTGTATACACCTTGTATACTTTGTGGGGGACCTTTTATTTCTATTTCAAGAACTCGAACATATTGGTAATAACAGAGCCATCAAGCGTAAATCCTTCGTACTTGCATTCATCCAAACCAGCCAGGAAATTCTTGCGTCGGGCTAAGTTTTTCTGTGTCTCTCGTCGAGAACCGCGTTCATCTCTCACCACCTCTCCTGTGATTTTGCTAGACGGGGTGGTTGGGATTTGCAAACCCGTCAAAAGCGGTCAGGAGCCTGCATTTGAAAGTGGAACTGTGCAAGACTTGGAGCCTCAAGTTTCGTGGCTGTATCCTTTACCGAACAGAGTCAAGAATCAAAAACATGTCCAATGTCTCCAAGATCTCAACAAAATTGCATCACGAAATTGGAATCCTGAATTCAAAATGTGCCATGTTCACTTTGAGCCCAACCCATGCAGCTATGTACTGCTCAGATCGATGACAATTGCTGTAATCCCTATCAGGCAGCCAATGAACGGAGAAACAAAAACATTGATCCACAGAATCCACAGTGGTACTATCGGTGAATTGATGCGTACGGTATATCTGCAAACACGTGCGTAGCCTAGACCCTTGCCTGCAGTACCGGCAAATAAATCATCACATCTGGGCGTGGTTTCCAATTGGGTGCCGCAAAAAAAAGGCATGGACAAATACGCAGATGACGACATCCAATCCATTCTTTGGTGTCTCCCATGCTTTTATCCATGGCCAAAGTGATTTCAGCAACTGACGAATGTGCACTGACAGATTGAGACTTAAAGCTTCACGTCACAAAGTCTTCTCTGGCACATGGAATAGCCAGTATGAGATGCAAATCAGGCCAGAGCTGCCTCGGAAATTGTGCTTGAAGCTGAAACTATACAGATTGTCAAAACAATGGAGAATGTTACCTGTTTTGCCTATTGGTCTTTTCTTGGCGCCCCAATATTTGGGATTGTCTTTGCCAAAATAACGTAAGCTGTGGTAGATTTTTGGTTTTCAACCCAGAATGACCCATTTCGACCGTTGTCATCTAAGCGATAGGGTCTGTGGTGGCTTTCATATCCCAAACGGCTGAGTCTGAGTGTTGAAACACCATGGGGAATTGGGAACCTAATTGCCAATCCGTACCCGAATTATATTTTGTGAGTTTTGTATCTATATCTGTAGGTGTTGATTATGTTGATTCTTGGGGAAGAGACAGATGGATCCGGAATCAAAAATCCGTTGCGCAACTAAACCGAGGCAACGATGACCACCACAGAAATCACAAATTCTACATTTTGGTTTTGTGAGAGCAATTAGCAACAATTTACATTGAATCATCCACTGGCTGGTGATTTCAATCCCATTGAAACATATAAAAGTCAATGTCAATGGGTGTCATCATCCCAATTGCTGGATGGAAACGCAAATACTTTAAACTTTAAACCACAAGCGACGACACGATTATAGCACTCATCCCAAAAATGAGCCATGATTACCTGTCAGCACCTATATGGATTTGGCCTAATCAATTATCTAAGGAATGTGCACAAGGTCGAGCAGCACCACCAATTTCCGTCGCTAGGCTTAGGCCATTTGGGGTCCTCGTTGCAGACCCGAGAAGAAGAGGTTGGGGTCGGACAGGTTTCCGCGCTTTGAGACAAACGGCCGATCTTAGATACCATGAAATTACAAGGTGCGCACTAGAAAATCGTTTCTTCGAGCGATCCCTGCCAACTGAGACTTTCTCTGGAATATATTCGGGCAATGTCTGACATTCTTTCTGGCAAATCTTCTGACTCTTGTTCTGGCATTCAGACTGACATATTCACTGACATTCTATACATAGATTCTAACATGTACTTTCACATTTTGTCTGACAGTTTTTTCCGACTCCAGACGTATATTCTAGCATTCTATCTGACATTTTATCTGGCACCGATCTATCATCTTATCTGACAAAAAACGTTCTATATATAAGTTCTAAGATATATTTTAACATTGTACCTTCATGACATTTATCCTGACAATGCATCTGACACTTTATGTGACATTTTATCTGACACATTCTGCCATTTTAAATGTAGCATTCTATCATATACTATCTGGCATTGCTCTTGGCATTCTATCGTGTATAGCTTTCGGGTCCATCGAGCCCCGGAGAACTGGCGAGTTTGCAATAGCGCTTGGCGGCGAGGCGTAGAAAGCTGGCGATCTCGCCATGAAGTGGCTCTGCAAAGGAGGCTGGCAAGCAAGCTGGCGATGACTTCTGGCAAGGAAACTACGTCTCCATGTGCGCGCGTGTGTGAGCCAAACCCTGTTACCAAGGGGTTTTCTGTTTTTTGCTGTTTTCCTCGGTTTTCAACATTCATCAAAATTCGCAACAAGGGGATTGCCTGGCTCGTAACAGCGGCAGTCCAACGAAGAGGCTGTTACAAGTCATTGATATAAGGATTCTGAATGCAAAAATCCACGTACCTGTTTTGAAGTGTTGAATTTCAATTTCTTCAATTTGTGAAAAACCAGTCTTCACCATTCTGTATTAAGACAAAGTGGCCAAGTCAAAAATCACCCATGTCGCTTGCGGCAACATAAGGCCTTCATGGGAAGTGTTCCACAACTCAAAAGAGTTATCAATCAAACCAGCGACCACATGCAGTCTTTCAAATGTGTGTGTAACATCTGAACAGATGCAAAAATTCTACTTCAGTCTCTCTCGCTAGCAGGAGGGCCCTGAATCTCATGAGTCCATCCACTGCCCAACGAAGACGGTGGTTTGAGATTGTGATATCGGGACTGATCATCCCGACGTACCTGCAAAGCATTTCAATTTCTGGATATGGGACGTGGCTAACCCAAGAACCGCCTGGCCGAGTTTATCACCTTTTGCATTTAATTTCTACACGGTTGTCGCAATCTGAGATTACCGTCAGCATCATTTCGACCATTGCTTACACGGTATTTGGACATAATACTATTTTGTGATTTTGATGTCTTGGACGTGCTGATTGTTTTTTTTTTAAAGTTTCTGGTCGTGATCCTTATAATCGATATTTATTCATAAACATCGGAATGTACATCGCGGAGGACTCCTTAGGCTCGCCATTCTAATTTGGTTACAATTTGTAGGGATTCAGTTCCCATCGGGCCACTTCAATGATCCAGTTCTTATCTGGTGTGATCTCCATGGTCGTTCCAACATGGTGACATGGACCCACTTGAGGGAACTCTCTTAAGGGTGAATGCAGATGAACGGATCTCCGAATTTGCACATTTTTATCTGAGAATTCATTTACGTATTGTGAAACAGTTGGCCTTGCCGTTCCTCACCTTTTGTGACATCTCGCCGCTCCTGCTGTCTTTGCGAACCCTCGGACGCTTTTAATTCTGCCCAAGTGAAGCTGCAGGGAACAGCCGAAAACCTTTGGTTTTGCTACATCCAGACACACAGAAGACTGCATTTGCTGGTTGCATACATACCTCGAGGCATCAGGCAAGTCCTCTTACTTCAGGTGAGGTTTCTTTGGTATCTGGTGAGGTTGAAAGATTGTGCACCCAATTCGTGACAATCTGAACAGCCGTTTTATGCCCTTTTATATGGATCGACTTCTTTCCCTTCGAGGGAGTAACGCACGACCCAGCATTTACGAACTGAATCCCTTTTAAATTTGTTGCTTCAACTGTCATCATCAACTAATTCCCCATTCGGTCCCCTATTTCATGCGTTCTCCCCTCCCTAGGTAGGTTGGGTCCTGTGCGTGCCTAGGTAGGCGTAGGTTTCGCTGTGGTAGGTTGGTTCAGGCGCTTCCGTCCTCCCCTCCTCCGCTGGTCTTGTTCCGTTTC